GCCGATAGCATTTCTGTTTCCATACTTAATGAAAGAGATTTACATATTAAATACAGTGGTGTCCCTCTGAGAGTGCCATTAAAATTAATCTCTCCTGTCTGTGAGGAGTGCTGACAGACAAGAGACATTTTAAAACATCTATATCTTTTTCTAGGTTTGTCTTAAAAATAAATCAGTTGCTTGCTGAAGAATCTGTAAATGTGCTTGAATGTCACTAGGGGGCGCTTTGAAGGTGTAGTAAGAATTCCTTGCAGGCTACATATTTTGTATTTAAAGATATAATCCTCCCTAGCCAGGCAGTGGTGGCGCACGCCTTTAATCCCAGCACTTGGGAGGCAGAGGCAGGCGGATTTCTGAGTTCGAGGCCAGCCTGGTCTACAGAGTGAGTTCCAGGACAGCCAGGGCTACACAGAGAAACCCTGTCTCAAAAAACAAAAACAACAACAAAAAAATGTACACAGAAACTTATAAGCTCTCTCTTCTCTCCGCCATTCCTCCCGATTCTCTCCCCACTTTTGCCCTCTGCCCTAAATAAACCCCCCCTCATGGAAAAAAAAGATATAATCCTCCCATAGCAACATAATGATATCATCACTCGATGACTTAAAATGCCATGTAGAATAGAAATACTACATAAAAAGTTTAAGGGAAAAGGGCAAAATATCCATTAGAGTTCTGCTATGTGTTCAAAACAGAGCTGGGGAGCAGGAGATCATAGGAACTTGTTCCCCAGAACAGACACACATTAAAGAGAACAGTCATGACAATGACAATTGATTCATTCATAGAACAGAAGTTCATTGCAATTAAGTGAGAAAGAAGTATCACTTTCATGGCCAAAGCCTTTACTTGCTCACAGGGAGTCTTGCAGAACTCTCTCTGACCCATGTGCAGGATTGAAACGGTTTCACCTCTCAGGAGCTTGGGTAGTAGGCCTGTGAACCTGCACTGAGGTTGAACTTGGCAAAGCAGCCTTGCTGTTGGCAGTCATCAACGGAGATTTTTTTTTTCCTTTTTCTTTCTTTGCAGTGCTTTGGGGTGCAGGGCCTCATGCAAAGCTAGCCAGGGCTCTATCATTTCACCATACCCACAATCCAAGTCAGGCCACATCAGGCTTTTTGTTTAGAGTTTTCCCGACCCCGCCATCCATGAGTTAAGACCTCTACAGCAACCTCTGCTATGAGTTATTAATCTTTAGTTAGTATTTGCCCCAGGAATAAGTCACACATGACTCAGTGTAAAATGCTAGATCAAGTGTGTGAAAGCCACACAGGGGAGTTCAAGGGCAATCTACATGGGCTACTAGAATCAAACAGACTATAGCCTGGTGTCAGCATTTAACTGTGGCCCCAGGAGCTACAATCCCTGTGGGGTGGTGAGGGGTTCCTTGGACTTTGAATTTGACTCCACAGTCCTCATGTGCTCAGCCCACTAAGGAGAAAACCTCAAATGCTGGAAACACAGAATTGACCACACTTTGAAACATATGGATACAATTAGAAGAAGGGTTTCAATTTCAGCAAAACTATACCCCACCATAAGCAAGAGCTCTGGGTTTGCAAGGGAATCTAAGGTGCCGGGCCTGTAAATGGCCTGCTTACACAGCAGAAAAGGCACGTGACTGTTGTAAAGGCAACCCAAGAGAGATTTGGACAGGCCACAGAAAGCATGGGTCTGTGACACACATGACTGCAGCTCTTCCAGATGGGAAGAGCTGCACTTGAATACCCCACAGCTTAGTCTGAACCGCAGGCAGCCTGCCTGGGCCATGCTCTCCCCAAAAAGGAAGGCAAGCAGAGTGCCTGACACAATTCATGCAGAGGAGCCCACAGGCTGTTCATATATCAGTGTAGCCTCACAGGGATTCCTACAGGTGAAGACAATCCTGCCCATCTGTCATAACATGATGCGTATTTCGTTCTCCTTTAAGAAGACAAGCTTGAAACCTGGGGCCTCACTCTGAGGCACTGCCAGGAAAGGGGGCAGGAAATGGTTGTCTCTGTCCTCAGACCACAAGATGTAAGCATTTAAGTACACACTGTCTATAATAGAAGGGTGATTTTTCTAAGGGAGACTGAGACACTCTTTTCCCCAAAGCCTCAAGGGGTCTTCTTGCTACTAGAAACCATCAAAATAAACCCCAAACCGCAATAATCACATGGTGAGAAAAGGAGTGGCTCCACACAGGAGCTTACAAATGTCTACCTAGTGCCTGGATAAAGCCACATTCATTTTCTCTCCTGCCCAATCCCAGGAAGGGAAAAAGACACCGTGGGACTCATGGGTGCATAATGGAGTATCTGGGTCCCTGGCTGAAATTTCATGAAGAGGATATGGCCAGGCGAGACATAGAGGCTGGAAGAGTCCATTCATATCTGCCTCTGCTTGGGGACAGAATGGAGGGTACTTATCCCAAGTTGGCAGTGGCCAAAAAGGAACGGGGTGGGGATGTCTTAGGGACCAGGGAGAGCAAACAGGTTTTTGATAGGTAAAACAACCCTGCAGATTCAGAAGAGGCCTGAGGACATTAGAGGACATTCTGGAGATGACAAGGTATTTAACGCCGTGGGAGATTACTAGGTGATGCAAACCCAGGGCATCCCAAGGGCAGGCAGACCTTTGTGCTCAAGCCCAGACTGAAACTCAACAGGAACAGAGAAAACATAGCTGCCCCCTCAGTTTCTGTCTGGGTGCCCAAGGGACTCCTGAAAATATTTAAGAGATGGGCACATAGGCCAGGATTTATCTCCTTCCAGAATGACCAGCTCATGGGAAAGACCCAGTTCTTCCTGCCTTTCAAGGTTGTGAGCTACACAGTCAAGCATCTGAAGGCTCTTCATGATACAACCTCTAACTGATGCAGAAGAAGAAAGGATTTCGTCTTTAAGACACATGCAGGGTAAGACTGACACTGAACACAAAGGGAAAATGGAAAGCAAACAAATGTTCAGATGTTTAAAACAATTCTCTCTCTCTTTTTATTTTGTTTTTTGTTTCTTGTTTTTCGAGACAGGGTTTCTCTGTGTAGCCCTGGCTGTCCTGGAACTCACTCTGTAGACCAAGCTAGCCTTGAAGTCTCGAACTCAGAAATCTACCTGCCTCTGCCTCCCAAGTGCTAGGATTAAAGGCGTGTGCCACCACCGCCCGGCAATACCTTCTTTTTGTTTTTTTTTGTTTTTTTTTTGTTTTTCGAGACAGGGTTTCTCTGTGTAGTCCTGGCTGTCCTGGAACTCACTCTGTAGACCAGGCTGGCCTCGAACTCAGAAATCTGCCTGCCTCTGCCTCCCAAGTGCTGGGATTAAAGGCGTGCGCCACCACTGCCCAGCTTGTGTTTGGGGAAATTTGTTTGGGGGAACAGGGTCTCATGTTGTCCAGGCTGGCCTCACACTCACTATTTAGTCAAAGATAACTTTGAATTACTAATTCTTCCAAGTGCTAGGATTAGAGGCATGTACCAAAACACCCAGGCTAGTACATAGTTTTAAATTAACAAAACAAAACACCCAATTAGTCCTACAGTTAACCAGTGAGATGTCAAGCACCCCAGGAACCGGTTTCCTAGCCACAGGGTTAGGGGTGATAGAGATGCTTTGGAGCTAGACAGAGGTGGGAGTGGACAGCACTCTCTGTATGTACTCCCAGTCACACATGCGCCTGTGTGTGTGTGTGTGTGTGTGTGTGCGCGCGCACGTGTGCACATGCATGCTTGAATAAAGGTAGTCACCAGAGGACAGCCTTTGGTATTATTCCTCAGACGCCATACACCTTGTTATTTGAGACTGGATCTCTCACACCATAGAGCTCACTGATCTGGCCCAGCTGGCTGGCCATCATGTTTCCACCTCTCCAGGGTTGGGATTGCAATTTATGCCATCATGTGAGCTTTGTGATGTGCATGCTAGGGCTCGATCGCAGACCCGAAAGCATTTCACTGGCTGAGCTATTTCCCTCACCGTGCTTTTTAAGACAGGTCTTTCCTGCATAGCTCAGGCCGGTCTGGACTCCTAAGCGTGCTACTTCAACCTTCCAAATGCCAAGGTGACAGTTGTAGACCACTGTGCCCAGTTTCAAAATGACTAATTTTACATTCCATGAGTTTCATCTCAAATTTAACATGTGTAACCCCCAGCAACCGCCCTGCCTCTCCCCCAAACCTCGCTGCCTAGCTCCGCCGACACACCCAGGAATAGATCACCTTCTCCATGCAGCAGTGACGGGTCTAGGAGCTCCATCATGTACTCGATCTCAGTGTCCAATTCAAGCATGTCACACTGAGCTATGACATAGGTCAGGACTGGCAAGAAGTCGTCTGCACCATACATCCTCCCTAGGATCAGGAAGAGAGGGCAAGGTGGGGTATTTTTATCTATGTTTCTTTCTTTCACATCCTATTTGCTGCTTTTATTAGCTATCAGGGAGTCATGCTGGGGAAATGTACTACTTATAAGCAGGCGTGGGTGTTCCTGGAATCCTACCTACGTGGCCCTTGACTCTGCTCACTGCTTTCTGTGACCAGCCCTGGCTCACAATCTCATAATGAATGTCTTGGAGACAGCTCAGATTTTCTTCCCATTTTTAAGAGTTGTGCACTAGAACAGAGTGCTTTTGAGCGTTTTTAGGCAGTTATCAAGGCATGGTATAAACTCTGAATGAAATATTTCCTTAGGCTAATTCTGGCTCACTGTCTTCTGTCCACATCTATCACAAATGTAACGAAAGACCAAACTTAACCAGGAAAAAAGTTTGCTCTCTGTTCGATGTTCATTTTATTTGTTTGATTTATTTAAATCTGTGTTGATGATAACAATTCAGTCCATTGATGATAGCACCTGATTAATAGTAATATAGAGGAGGAGGAGGAAGAGGAGGAAGAAGAGGAAGATGAAGTCCTTGTCTCTTATGTTGTTTGCTTGTAATGGTGGTTTGTTTTTTTTCTGTTTGTTTTTCGAGACAGGTTTTCTCTGTGTAGCCCTGGCTGTCCTGAAACTCACTCTGTAGACCAGGCTGGCCTCAAACAATGGTGGTTTTTAAATGGGGTGACTTTGCCAACCGAGAGCACACCTGACACTATCTGAAAACAGTTTTCATGATCACAGCTGGAGTGTGAGGGTGCAGATGGTATCCAGGATGCTGCTGAGCTTCCCCACAGGAAGTGGGACAGCCCCCACAATGAAGATGGTCATGTCTGAAACATCACCAGTGTACAGACAGAGAGATAATACTATCAGAACCATGAAATCCTGAGCAGGTATTTATTTTGGGAATGTTTATACATGATCTCATGAGCTACAGAGATATGTGCTTCAAATTACAGAGGCCTTGTCCACAGGCTGGCAATAGCTCAAGGGCTGTGTGTGTGTGTGTGTGTGTGTGTGTGTGTGTGTGTGTACATGCACACAGAAGCCTGGGTTGACATTAGGTGTTGTTGTTAATTGCTCTCTTTTGTATTTACTGAGGCAGAGTCTCTCACTTGGAGCTCACCTATTTGGCTATTCTAGCTAGTCAGATTGCCCTGGGGATCCCCTTTTCTCTGCTTCACAAGTGTGGGATTGCAGGTAAGCTGCCACACACATCTACCCAGCATCTGTGTGGATGCTGGAGATCTGAACTCTGGTCCTGAGGCTTGCCTGACAAGTGCTTTGCTGGCTGACCCACCTCCCTGGTCCCAAAAGCTCAGAGGTTCAAATCCATCTGCAATGCATGCGCACATGCATTCCTATCCACTCCAGCAATGGGTAACAGAGCCTGTGTTTTCTCTCTATGGCTTTTCTACTATGGCAATTTCTGTCAAGAAAAAGGTTGGTCATTGCCCACGCTCTGAAGGCCTGGAACAGGGTGGGCTCAGTCACTACCCATGAATCATGGGTACTTCTGCATCTTTAGGGGAGAGCCAGGGGAATTCTGAGGACTTATTTCCTACTTTGTAATTCTTTGATGACTTCCAATCACGTTGCTTCAGCCTCCTTTTTCCCAAGCACTCCTGATTTCTCATCCGTGTGCTGTAGGTTGTCAGCATAAACACACACAGGCCAGAGTGCGGCAGAGGTTCTCACTAATGTTCCCATTGCACTTGGAGTTCAGAATGAATTGCCTTACCTCATTCTCACATTATGGAGGAGAGAGTCATATGTAACAACAGATGTGGGAACTGCAGGGTTGAAGAGTAAGGTGGCCAAAGTCCCTCAGGAAAGAAACTCATTTGCACAGGGAGAGTAACAAATTCATAAGCACTATGCTGCACTCTTTTTATTTAAGTCAGCATTAGAGACAACTCCTACTTTGTCCTTATCCACATTCACTGACTGAGCTATTATACTACTCAGTTGCATGAAACTCACTTAACAAATTCCGTCAGTTGCATTTGTATTTCTATAGGCTGCTAGGTGAAACCTAGAGACTGAAGGGAGGGCTTATTGGGGCTCAATGAGAAATCTGGACCACATGACAGGCTGCCTCACCTGAGTTGTTCTCCATGACAGTGTAGATGAGCTTACAGACCCGTAGCAAAAGCATGACTTTCTTTTCTGGCGAATACATCTTCTGCATGGTCATGAATTTAAGCTTGATTTTCTCCAGCTCCATCAAGTCAGGGGTTGGGGCAAAGACCCCCAGCTCCTGAGGGTTCCTCTGCCGCACGAGTTGTAGGTTTTCCTTGAGTTGTTTCCATGAGCCGTCAGCCGTGTGGAAGTCTTTCAGCATGGCCTCCACATGGCCCTTGAGGGGCTTCAAGATGCATTTGTGCATGGCCTTTTCCAACACCACATCTGCCAAAGAAAAAGAAGCTACTGTGACCACAGTCTGAAGAAAGGATGTTTACAATTGATTCTTTCTTGGGATACAGATCTGTGACTCAGCCTTCAGAGGAGAAGACAAACACATTATCAGGACGTTTAACACCCGAAAGACTACAGACAGAACCACCATGACTCACATAGCAGGTAAGGTGAGCTTGCCCTGATAACACTGTCCTTGCATACACTTAATAAAATAAGCAAGTTTATGTTAACCTCTCTACATTTGAGAAAATATTTCAGAAGACCTTCTGATCTAGGTGTTCTACTGTCCTTTCCCGTTGATGTGGTATCTGGTAGGATTTTCTTCCCTTAAAAAAAAACCACGTGTGTGTATGTATGTGTGTAAGATCGGGCACATGCTGGCAGGAACAGGGAGGTCAGAGGACAAGCTTGGGTGTCCACCCTCATCTCCTATCTTATTTGAGGCATGGTCTCTTCTTTGTTGTCTACTGATATGCATGCCAGGCTAGCTGGTCTGCAAGCTAAGGGGTTTTCTAATGGTGAAAGTGGGATTTTGGATCAGATTCTGAACCAAAACCCTCCTTTCATTTGCAACAGAAGATATCAGTGAAGCATCAGGTGAGATCTGAATATAGCCTGTAGCTTTGGTAACTGAAGGGACCCACACACTGTGGGATGCTCCCTCCCAGAACCCCCCAAGTTAGGTACAAACTATACCCAAACATCTATTTTCACAGAGAGATTCTTTAAAGCTGGCAAGAAAAGTAAAGTGGATATTTTCTGGCAGAAGGCAGCAGCAAATGACCTTGCAGGTGTGATTTACTTAAAAAAAAAAAAGAGGAAAAAAGGGGAGGTCTATGTTAGAATAGGCCAGGATGTGGTGGTATTGGTGGTATGTTTTGATTGGCATGTTAGGTGAACCAAAGGGAGCTTTTGATTGCTGGACTTGAAGGCTTTGATAGCTAGACCTTGGTGATCAGCCTCAGGAATGAGTCTGGCATAAGAAAGTGTCCAAATAAGGGAACAGACCTTGGTGGCTGACTTTAAGGATGGATTCTATGGTTTACAAGGGAGAGGGAAGTGGGAAGGGGAAGGCCTGCTAGCACCATGTTTGCTATGCTCTGGTCTGCTAGAGCCCTCCAGTAACTGTGTAAACATAACTTTAATATTGATAACTATACTGAAGTTTGCAATAGACAGCTTTGTTTTTAGGAAACAACAAAATATTGTGGTAAAGGGGGCATAATGCCTGTGATGAAGTCTCTAATGGTTCAGAAACAAAGGAAGTACAAATGTGTGCATGTGCAATGTGTGGATAAACAGAAGAACAAAATGACAGTGCCAAAGGGCTAACACTGGGGGACTTTGGGTGGAGGCAGGACACTTCTTTGTATTATTTGTGCAATTTTCCTGTAAGTCTGATACTATTTCAAAATGAAAAGTTTAAACGTTTAAATCTCTATAGAGTTAGGAAAACCTCTAGGTGTGGGTGGAGTTATCTTCCCTCCTTCGCATGGTCACCCAATGGAATAGCTCCCATTGTTGATACTCAGATGAACAGTAACACAAACCTGTGTCTCTAGGCTGAAGATAATTTGCATAATGATGAATTCTCTGCTTCTTCAGAGCCAACTGTTTCACCTCACATACTCCGAATCTCACCATCCCACCCGACTGCTACCGTGGTAACTGTCTGATATAGGACACCGATGTGGCTCCATTCCGCAAGTGCACGGATCCACTCACTTCTAAGATTGGAAAGAATAGGGTTCTTTCTCTGGCCTCTAAAATTCTTGATACTGGGTCAGTTCATACTGAATTCAGATTCCTATCTATTATTAGAAGTCTGGGAGCGGGGTGGGGAATAATCTAAGCCAGGTGTGCAAATCACAGAACAGCTTGACTCCATCTCCAAGGTCAGTACTAAGTGTAGAGGTTAATGCTGATTCAACAGCAATCAGACTTCCTCAGCCTAGGTTTTCCTTTGTTCCTCCACTTCCACATTCTGTCTTTGTTTAAAGACAGAGCACCACACAATTCAAGACCAAATTAGCAGCACAAGGGGTTAAAAGTAGAAGAAAAGCAAAGTAACACACTCACTTCACGTGAGACCTTAAACAGGTCACTTCATTTGCACTGGTTCTGTCAATGAACTTATCTGATGTCATAGCTTCTTTGACCTTACTTTGTATGATCATCCAAAAAAAAAAAAAAATCAATAACAGCAACTGAGTGCTTAGATGAGCTAAGTCCTATCCAAATACTTTACCTAATTATAACCCAATCCTTGCCATAGCTCCTTACTTTTGCATAACATTAATACTCAGAACGAGCATTTAGGCAGCATTTCGAGGTAAATCATCTCTTTTTCTCTCTCTCCTTTTTCAGTGTGCTAGGGAGCAAGCTCAGGGCCTTGAGCATAATAAGCATGTGTTCTTCCACTGGAGCTGCACCTTCCCACAACCCCCAAGTAAGTGATCTCTTATTGTAAATTTCAAGACACTTTGTAAGCACTGACCAGATTGTCTACCTGACTCAAGGGTTCTGAAAGTGGCATTCATAAATACCTGTCACCTGCACCTTGGCAGAACAGGCCACAGAGGAAGTAGGTGGGTCGTGTCAATCATGAATTAGGAATGCACATAAACGCCCGTAGCAGGGCTGTTCATGATTGCTCCAGATTGGAAAGAACCTAAAGCCTGGTCCAGCAGAATGGCTGCATGGGAAGTATTCATACTGTGGTATATTACAATAGGACTCAGACAATGAAAAACATTGAGTCTGTGAGGAAGCACACAGCTCCACAGACAGTATGGGTAAAACTCCCAGATTCCACACAGAGTGTGAAAGAGGCATATTAGGCAAACCTCCCACAGCCTTTCACCTCTATAAAGTCTAATGCATGGCTTGGCAATGGTTCAGAAGTTAGATTGGCAGTTGCCCTTGGGTAGGAACCAACTGAGGGGCCATGGGGCCACTTTGGTATATGTGAGGAGGATAGAGAAGCTTTGCCTATTTGAGTGTCCATATATGAGACCCAATGCTGAAGACTAGTGCACTTTATGTATCCAAATACACATGTGGACAAAAGACAACTGAAGACCAGCATGGGGTTTTGACCTGGGACTCTCAGAGCAACATGTAACTTCAGAATGAGCCTGGTCACCTCTGTGCCTGAGTGTTATACAAACTACTTCCAAATGGCTCTGGGCTGTTCCTGGAGGGTGAGGACAATGGAGGGTTCATTCTCAGCAAACTGAACAGGCTCCCTCTCCTATTTAATCCATGTGGCCAGGGACCAGTGCTATGCACAGTGTAGTACAGCTATGGGAACTTGTTAGGAGTAGCCTGTTTCCTTAAAACCCAAAAGTAAAACAAAACAAAAAAAATTCCTGGTGTTGAAATGGATGGGAAACCTGAATCCACCCTTTGGTTTCACTTGATTCTAGCGAGTAGCCCAGGATGTCCTGGGAGTTGTTACTGTGTAGACCAAGCTAGCTTCAACCTCACAGCAATCTTCCTCCTTTAGCTTCTGTGGTTGGCTGACTCTTCACTGATTTTAGAAGTCATTCAAGGGGTGAAAAGCTTATAAGACATAGAGGACCAGGACATCTGCCTAGAGATAGTGTGTTCTTTAAAGAGAGAGAAGAAGAAGAAGGAGAAGGAGAAGAGAAGGAGAAAGAGAAGGAGGAGATGAAGAAGGAGGAGGAGGAGACTGAGGAAGAGGAGAGGGAGAAGAAGAAGAAGAAGAAGAGGAGGAGGAGGAGGAGGAGGAGGAGGAGGAGGAGGAAGAAACAGTAGAGGTTGTGGGTAGGGAAGAAAGGGTAGATCTTGACTTGAAGGAAGTTCTTAAAAGATTAACAATAATAATATATTTAAAAAGAAGCCACATAACTATGCAGGAAAGAAATAAGCCTCTATTAGCTTCGCCATGGATAACATGACCGAAGTGTGGTCACTATGGTGCAACTATTTACTTTGTTTTCAGGAATCTGAATTTGTCTAGGAATTTCTCTGAAATGCATCTAGCTCAAACCAGTTGAAACCAGTGACTCACTGCCTGAGCACGCCAGGTGTTTGATGGGTGACCATTTGCTAGTCAAATACTCCACTCCCAGAATAGCTGCTGTTTTCTGTGCAGGTGGCCAATTGCTTCGTTTTCCTTGTCTGTAAACACCTCTCTCCACACCTTAGAGCACCTTTTCCATAAGCACCCCCACACACCTTCTACCCTCAAGAAGGTGGATTTAAGACTCGGGACTTTCCATCTCCTCATATCTAGCAACCCTGTGAACAAACTCTTGCCAAACACAGTGACTTCAGACATATGTGATGGTCAGTGACAGTATTAGGCATTTCTCTAAAGTAGCTTTTGTTTATTTGTCTGTTTGTTCGTTCATTCTTTTTAAAGACCACACTTTAAAACTAAGACTAATCTCTTCACTTTCTTTTTAGGACTGTGCACTTACCTTCTACTCCTATCAAACCCTTAATAAGAGTGTGGAGGGTTTGAGATAAAATGAAGGACCAGCGACCCCCCACCGAGTGAACCCACTGCTTCTCTCCAGCAAGAAACCAAAGTTTCTGCTTTTAAGCAAGAGAGCAAAATCATTTGAGGAACATAAGAAACGAGACCTCTCAGAATGAGGCCTAGCCCAGACAAAAGCCAAACCAAACCAGTGGCGGTGCTCACAGCTCTCGTAGATTACCAACTTGTTCCTTTCTGCTCTTTTCCATCGTCTCTGGGTGCTTTAATTTCAACAGGATAATCTCAAATCTTTCCTACTAAAGAACAGGAACACTATTCTAGACACTTTTTGTTCACAGACTCCTCAAATCCTCAAACAAACTCTGTATGAGGACTAAGATATAATCACTTCACAGAGGAAGAAATCATGTCACCAGCAAACAATCTCTTGGAGCCAGGATTGGAACCCAGAATACCTGCTTCAAGGGTTCTCGATGGCAAGCTGGCTACAGCTGCGCTCCATCAACAGAAAGCATGTGTAACAGAAGAGTATGAATTTTCATTAATAAAAAAGGAATAGCCAACTACCCTTTGATGCTCAGTTTTTCTACTTTTCTGGTAATAAGAAAACACTAGAAAGCTGGGCTTGGTGGTACATGCCTTTACAATCCCAGCACGTGGGAAGCAAAGACTGGTTATTCTCTGTGACTTTGAAGCCAATCTGGTCTACATAGAGAGTTCTAGGAGAGCCAGGGCTAGAGAAATTCTGTTGAAAAGAAAGAACGAACTAAAGGACGGTTTGAACTGTAATTTAATTTTGGATCTTAGAAACTATATATTAGCTGTACCCTCTGAATGACACAAACTGGAAACAAAGATTGTGAAAACTGGGGTCGTATTAACTGGTCCCTAGATTATCCCTACGTGGGAGGGGCAAAGACTATGTTGGCTCTCCTTGCCTCATCGTTACTTAATATACAGTAATTGATTCACTCTTCTATAAAGAAACA